TTGAAAATATGATTTTCTAAATAGGGAATACGATTCCTAGTTGAAGGGAGAGATAAAATTTTTGAAATTCGCCCCTTATTCCGCAATCTTTGGGCGTCCATAGGATGGATCTCTCATCCCTTCACTCGACCATGTTACGAACGGAATTTGGGTGAAGTTGGTCTATTGTGAGGTTGAAGTGGTTCATGACCTCTACGATAAGAGGGTGGAAAGGAAGACGGAGCCCGGCTATAAGCTGCTCCCGGAAGATCACGATCTCGTCAGGACCGTGCTTCCATGGGAAGTTACCCGCAAGAAGACTGTAGGTAAACTCCCTAGGTAGATTGTATTGCCAAATGAGGTATCGGATCCTCTCCAGGGTCATAATGGAGGGACCGAACCTATCTGGCATTCGACCTCGGTGAGAGGTGGACGCCAAATTACCCGAGGCCTTCCACGCCTCGTGAGACTGGACTTCGGTGGGGTCACCCTGAGCCGAGGTACCTACCTCGGGCTCATCCAGTTGACTATCAAAAGTAGACATAGTGAAGGAAAGAAACGAACTGGAAGGAAATGAAACTGAAAGAAAAGCAAAGGAGACTCACCAAGGAAAGCAATCGAACTAGGAATAATTGACCCAAGCTGAAGACCTTAGACGCGAGCTCAAGACAAGTGCTGATGACTTATGGTGAGGAAAAATGACCAGGACCCCTGCTATTTATAGCCACTGTACTCGGGCATCAACAGTCGAGATCAAGACGATCTGATGGCTCTCAAGAAAACCAGCTATACGACTCTCAAGGCGAAATCGGTTTAGAGCATTTTTTGACGTCTGCGGAGTTCATAGATCGCGTGACGTCTGCGTGTAGACTGTACACGACCCGGATTGCCCTTGATCGAGTCGAGCAGTGAACTGGTCTGACCCATAAGCCGCCTGACCAGGAGGCCAGAGCTCCGAGCCAATTCCACTTGGCACACTGCGGACTTCCCGCACTGGGTCAAAACCCCCAGCACGGGGATTGAGGGGCAATTGATGGAGGGTGATTTGGCCTGACCTCGTAGCATGGGGACACGTGGGTACAACCTGGCATAAGTGACAGGTCAGCATGGTAGCCTGGCCATAGCCTAGCAGCGCAACTCGGCGGACGTAGCAGCTCGCCGAGAAGAAACATCTAGCATACTCCAAATTATCCCTAAGAGAGGAGGACTTCCGAACTCCTCCCGAGACCCGAGCTCCTTTCGGTGGGCCCCGAACTCTTCCTTCCTGAGAAGGGAACACCTCGGTCTACGGAAAGTATCCCGAAGTGTCCCCACTTCGGGATAGTCCCATTAACGCTCCTGCCCATATATGCCTAAGGCTCGACTCGAACACTCGCACCTCGGCTACCCCGACAGCTCGACAACCTACAGAAAGGATTTGCCTGACAATAGTACTTGCCGAATCCGGAGGCTGAGCCCACATCTCTTGTCAGGAGGCGTCATGCCTACCACTTTTGCCAGATGTGGCACGCCTGGCAGGTCCGTACCCTGCAACGGCTGCCCACATCTGCCACCTCGGCTCTAGCAATAATGGCTGTGGCAGAGTCGGTTACACCTGATTTGAGAAATCTTCAATATAAAAAGACCTCGACCCTGGAAGAGAAAGGTATTGAACTTGCGCCATCTCCATTCTCAGCTCTTTACTTGCATTCTTCAGCTTTCTCAGAGTTCTAACTTAAGCATCGGAGTGTTCCCACCAGGTGAGCTCCCCAGAAATTCCTCACTTTCTTCATCGTCTCAGGTACCGTTCGTCACCAACTAGGAGCCAAGTTTCTGCCAGCTAAGAGTGCCCGGATCACACAACAACAACATATTTATAAAATTTATATATATATATATATATTTTAATATATCCAAGGTTTTTATATTTTTTCATTCGTATTTATGCATTTTCCAAACCTATCCGTATACGTATTCATATTCAACTTATCCAATACAATACCCAATATGAATCCTTAAGCAAAATTACATAGAATTTTTGTGTCTTCAGCGGTAGATATTACATTATATTGTAATTTTTTTACAAGCATTATACGCTAGGACCGGAATTATTATATTATACAATCGCTTAAAATACCATCTATTAATAGATGTAGTGGGACCCACATTCACATTCATCAACGGGTGATATAGGTTCTCTCGTAATGGGTCCTTATTAAATTATTATCACGAAAAATTCGTCACAGCTCTGAGAGTCCGACTGTCCGAGACTCCGACCGAAAGGGGGAGGGCAGAAGAAGAAGAAGAGGGTTTTCCCGTGTTTTTTCCTCGGCAACTCTAAACCATTTAGCAGCAATGGTGTGTGAGAAGTGTAAGACAGTCTCTCTCTCTCTCTCTCAAGTGATTAAGAGGCTAGAAGGATTCAATTTTAATCTGTTCTTTCTAATAACGAGGCATGACTGAAACTGATTAATTAATCTTCAGGTGAGAAGAAGCTGACTAAGGTGATTGTCCCGGACAAGTGGAAAGAAGGGGCTAGCAACACCAACGAAAGTGGTGGTCGTAAGATTAACGAGAACAAGCTCCTTTCCAAGAAGAACAGGTTCTCCCCCCATCACCCTAATCCTTCCGTTTAAATCTTATATTTAGAGTATTCAGAGTTTCGTTCTTATCGTTAGAGTTATTTTTTCTATGATATTTAGCAATTGGGTAATGGTTTCATGATTTTTTTTTCTGCACTCTCCTTTTCCTGCACCCCCAAAATTGCATTGATGCGCTCAATACCAAAAAAATTGCGGTGAATAAATTCTTTAATTTTATTGGATCTACGACAATCGAATCTATTTGATATTTGCATCTATTAGCTGTACAATTAGAAGCTGTACAGTAGGAAATCAGATATCCACAAAATCCCAACCCACCAAAAGACCGACAAAACTAAACTCTCCTTACAAATGGGAGTCTGAATCAAAAAAGGATGACATATACCTATTTTTGAATAACTGGTTAGCTGCCAACCAAGAGTGTATCATCCTCAAAATTCTGTTAAAAACTTCTTCTTTTGGAGCTTGTCTTCCTTTAAATAATCTGCTGTTTCCAAATGTTTCTGGTTAAAAAAAGGGTGATAACAACAAAAAGTTTTTTAACAAATTAGCTAGTGCTAGGAGAAGGGAAAACACGCTGAAAAAGATGGTTGTTAATGGTGTATTAGTGGAGGAGGTAGACAGAATTAAAAGCCATATTGTGGACTTTTATGAGAATCTTTACAAGGAAGAGTCGGTTAACGGGCCAAAACTTGATGGCCTAGAGTTTGATGGTCTCTCAGAGGCGCAAGCTGCAGATTTGGAGAGAGAGTTTGATGAAAGGGAGATTTGGGAAGCTTTAAAAGAGATGGAAGGAGATAAGGCTCCGGGTCCGGATGGGTTCACCATGGCATTCTACAAACACTGTTGGGGTTTTCTAAAGAATGATGTTTTAAGGGTGTTGAAGGAATTCCATGACTCAACAGCTCTAGAAAGGAGTTTAAGTTCCACTTTTATAACTCTAGTCCCAAAGAAAAAAAGGGGCAAAGGAAGTGGGAGACTTCAGACCAATTAGTCTGGTTGGTAGTATCTACAAATTGATTTCCAAGGTTCTTTCCAAGAGGCTCAAACTAGTGATGGGGACCCTAATCTCAGAAACTCAAGGTGCTTTTGTGGAGGGTACACTCATGGTAGATGGAATGCTAGTAGCAAATGAGATGATAGATACAAGATTGAGAAGTGGGAGGGCTAGGCTGCTCTGTAAAATCGATATTGAGAAGGCTTATGATCATGTCAACTGGCAATTCTTAGACTACATCCTAGAAGAATGAATTTTGGCTCTAAATGGCAGAATTGGATGAAAGTCTGTGTGACTACTCCTTCCTTCTCAGTCCTGGTAAATGGGATGTCTTGTGGTCGCTTTAGGAGTTCTAGTGGTTTAAGGCAAGGGGACCCTCTTTCCCCCTTCCTTTTTATGTGTGACTGAAGCTCTAAATAGACTGATGAAAAGGGCCACAACAGGGGGTTCCATAGAAGGTTTTCAGGTGGGAGCTGAAAGGGTGGAGGTTTCTTTCTTGCAGTTTGCAGATGACACTCATATTTTGTGATGCTTCAGTTGATCAGCTTGGTTATGTAATGGAAGTGCTGCAATGGTTTGAGGTTGTGTCAGACCTCCATGTAAACAGGCATAAAACTGAACTGGTTGCAGTGGGAGATGTGCCAGAAATAGAGAGGTGGGCGGAGGAGTGGGGATGTAAAAGAGGTAAGCTTCCTTTGAAACATCTGGGGATGCCTCTAGGCGCTAGGTGCAATTCCACATCAATGTGGGAGCCCATTGTGGAGAGATTAGACAAGTGTTTGGCTTCTTGGAAGTCCAAGTACTTATCTTATGGAGGTAAATTAACTCTGCTGAAAAGTGTTCTGTCTTTCCTCCCCTTGCATTTGCTCTCTTTATATCCAATTCCTAGTGGGATAGCTAAGTCTTTAGAGAGGAAGATTCGGGAGTTTCTGTGGAAAGGATGGAAGGATGAGAAGAAAAAATTCATGCTGGTTAGCTGGTCCAAGATCTGTAAATCCAAATCTCAGGTGGGCCTGGGTGTGAGATGAATAAAGGATAAGGTGATTTGTGGAGAAGGGTGATCACAGCCAAGTATGGTTATGGTATTTCTGGTTGGGTCCTGGGTGAGCTAAACCAATCCTATGGATGCTCTGTCTGGAAAGGGATTGGGAAAACTTATGGTCCATTCTCAAATGGAGTTATATTTAGGGTTGGGAATGGGAGGCGAGTTCTTTTCTGGAAAGACTTGTGGTGTGATAATAGACCCTTGAGGGTCTCTTACCATACCCTCTTTGAAGTAGCAGCGGACAAAGATGCTCTGGTTTCGGACTATTTGCAGGTGCAGAGTGGAAGTATTGTTTGGGCACCTATCTTCAGGCGAAATCCGAATGATTGGGAAGTGGAGTCTCTAGTGGAATTGCTGCATTTGCTGTATAGCACCCCAGTGGAATTAGGGAGAGAGGATAGAAGAGTTTGGAAGTGGGAGAAGTTGGGGGAATTCTCAGTTAGGTCCTTTTACAAATATTTTTCCAGATCAGAGGATGAGCCAATCCCAGTTAATTCTGTATGGTGTTAGGGTGTGCCCACAAAGGTGGCGTTTTTTGTATGGACAGCCTTCTTGAACAGGATTTTAACTAGGGATAATCTGGAAAAGAAGGGTATGCTGTTAGGCACAACTGTCTGTGTGCTTTGTCAGAACCATACTTAGTCAGTAAACCATCTGCTACTCCACTGTGTTTTCTCCTGTGAGGTCTGAAATAAAGTAAAAAATTTATATGAGATGAACAGTTGCTGCCCTGAACCAGTAGCAGATTTTGTGAAGAGTTGGAGAGTCAAAGGTCTAACTTAAGAGGGCAAGTTGGCTTGGAATCTGACTCCTGCTGCAGTTTTTTGGTGCATTGGAGAGGAATGCAAGGATTTTCAAGAACCAACACAGCTCCTCAGATACAGTATTTCAGAAAGTTATGGGAAAAATGTTTTCCTGGTTAGCAGTAAATAATGCTTTCAAGGACAAATTTTAATTCCTTTCTTGCAGTAGGGAATCTTTTTGTAAATCAGGGTTTGGGGGTCTAGCTCCTCTGGTGCAGTTTTTGTAAATCCCTGTGTACAGCTCCTTGTTGTACATGTTTTTTGTCTTAATGAAATTCTCACATTACCTGTTTCAAAATAATAATAATAATAGTAATAGTAATAGTAATAGTAATAGTAATAGTAATAGTAATAGTAATAGTAATAGTAATAGTAATAGTAATAGTAATAGTAGTAGTAATAGTAATCATAATCATAATCATAATCATAATCATAATCATAATGTGCTGTTTCTTTCACCCCATATTGCCCAGAAAACTGCTGCAGGAAGGATACTCCATGCTACCTGTAGTCAGCTCCCTGTAAATGTTTCTGTAGTTACTTATTTTTTACAGTATCTCAATATTCTTTCTTCTATCTTTTACTACTATGTTTACTTTGGTGATCATATATATATACTACCATGTAGAAATTAAGGGAATCCCCTTTAATTGGATATGTACATTGCATCTTGAATTGTTAAATAATAATAATAATAATCTGCTGTTTCTTTCACCCCATATTGCCCAGAAAACTGCTGCAGGAAGGATACTCCATGCTACCTATAGTTAGCTCCTTGTAAATGTTTCTGTAGTTACTTATTTTTTACAGTATCTCAATATTCTTTCTTCTATGTTTTACTACCATGTTTACCTTGGTGATCATAGATATATACTACCATGTAGAAATTAAGGGAATCCCCTTTAATTGGATATGTACGTTGCATCTTGAATTGTTAAATCTTTTTATCTTTAAAAGGATAGCACTATTTTTTTTCTTTTTTTGAAAGATAAAGAGAATATGCACAGATGAAAATCTTATGCATATTGCCAGGGAGCTGGCAAGGCAAGGAATCCTCAACCACATGTACAAAAGGTAGTGCCTCTTTCAATATGCACAGATGAAAATCTTATGCTATTACCATGCCAAGAAGGGAAGGACCAGGCAGCTGGCAGGAGCCACGGCACCATCTGGGATTCATTAAATTAAAGGGTTTTCTAGTTTATTAATAATGCAGCTATTGCACAAGTTATTGTGCCTCCCCGCCTCCCCCCCCCAAAAAAAAAATATATATATATATATATATAAATAAATAAATAGACAAAAACAGGAACAAAAAACAGAACGAGACTTCTTTAAATGGACATGAGTACCAATCCCGAATTCTTGAGATGTATTTAAATGGATAGCACTCCCTTAGAATCTTATGCCATGAGCACCCAACAGGAGCAGAGCCAACCTGAAAGTTCTTGAATTAAAGGGTTTGTGTTTATAACACAGCTGTTATATTTACACAAGTTGTAAAAATCTCTAGTTTGCTCCCTTCTCCTTCTCTTCCACCCCTTTCTCCCAACAACTAAAAAAGAACTTTAATATGCCCCCAACAAAATCTAAGGAAATGTGCTTTTGTTTAACTACTAAACAAAACAGTTAACTCCAATATTTAAGGAATTAATTGTGGGACCTACTAATTTAAATTTCTTTGTTATTGTTACTTAACTACCAAATAAAGAAAGCACCTACTGTTAACTGAATACCCACAAGTTCTTCCCCCTCCTATTGTCCAACCTCTCTTTACAAATTAGTTGCGTAACAAACCACTCTTCTAAGACCTGTTTGTTTACTACTTACCACTATTAAATCTACTTACAACTACCAAAATAATAGCAAATGTTGATTGGACACCTACAAGTACTTGTTAGATATATGCTAAATTCCTAAACCATGACTTCTTCGAGTACTCATGTAAACTCCCACTCTTTTGCATCACTGTCTAGATTTTTTACTTTTGATTGCTATTGTTTAGTTGAGATAAAATGATAAACAACTTACTATTTGTGGGAAACCATATGAAGAAGATGTTGGCACCAGGAATCTGAGGGCTTTAGCCTCATGACATACATATTTCCATCAAAAGAACCATAAATAAATAAGACACCCAACAGAACCCAATAACCTCTATTTTTGTCATTATAGTTGAAAAAGCGAAAAAAAGAGAGAGCAACATGAATATTCTATTTCAACTCAAGCCCCCATTAAGTGTCAAAACCTTCTTCAAGGAAAAAGAACCTATTAAGATGTATCTATATATTCTGTCAGTTTTTTTCAATGTTTTGTTGATTTCTTTTTCTCTTCACTTCATTCTCTTTCATAATTATATCAACCATATAATATACGGAGAAGTACGGAAACACCCGATGTAGGATTCTGAATTCCAGTCCCCCCCCCCCTACTACTAGCCCTCTCCCCCCCTATTAATCACATTCTGCCCGTGAATTTGGCATCAATTCACGGTCAGGATGCATTCCCCCTGTACTATGGGGCTATAAAATTCTGATCTGGGCTGATTAGTCATTCTCCCTATAATATATCCTTTAAGATGTTTAATTCAATAATCAAATTTTCTTGTCAATTGTTTTAAAATATGAAATGTTGGGAGAAATGTGCAGAACTTTGATAAATATTTTAACATTTTCCTAATATATATTTATAAATGTCTAAATCTGGACTAGATGTTGAACTGCTAATGCTAACAGCAAATGGACTGAATGCTCAAACTTGTGCAGTCCACCTGGCACATGGTCTCATGTCCAGATTAAATAGAAGCATAATAGGCCACCATAAAGTTGGAGTTATCCTTATGCTTAATAACATAGAAGAGTCGTTGTTCTTACTTCTTAGGTATAATCTGATTCTGCTGAACTTGTGTTTATGCATTTTGTGGATTCTAGTCTGAGAATAGCCACTGTGTATTCTAGTATTGGTGCAATGAATGCTTGAGAATGTGGATTCTATAGTCTGAGAATAGCCAGTGTACAAAATGCCAAAGGCTAGGTCCATATTCCAGTCTACCTTTCCAAGACCAACATCGAGTGATGAACCTTTTATTTTATGCATATCTACTTTACCCTGAGATTCCTGACTTGATCCTAATTTACCAAGTTTTTGATTCCTGTGTAGATGGACTCCTTATGGAACAACCAAATGTATCATTTGCAAGCAACAAGTCCACCAAGATGCCAAGTACTGCCATACCTGTGCTTATACCAAAGGTAAGAACATCTTAATACTTCCTTTCAATTGTTTCAAAGTTAATTGGATGATAGTGTGAAACCATCCAATGGACGTTGGTGCTACAGTTGCCCCAAAAGACTGATCATGGATTAATGGAAAATTGAATTGTTAATGATTTAAATTAGTAACCCATGCAAATTGATAAAATATCACTTTTACATTGGTCTTTGGGGCATTCATAGCATCAACAGCATTACATGCATGCGTGTCAAGTTAGCATTCTTCCAACTAAAATTAGGGAGTTCAGCGATGTCTTACTGAAATGGTTTGTGCTTGGGCAGGAGTATGTGCTATGTGTGGTAAGCAAGTACTTGATACCAAGTATTACAAGCAAAGCAATGTCTAACTGCCAAGGTGCTCCTTTTCTATTCAATGGGCTCTTGGATTGTAAATTGGCATAAACCATACCTTTCTTTAACAAAGATGTTATGACTATTAGCTGATGTAAAAGAAGTTCAGTGAGACTGATAGTTCGAATATTTCTCGTGCATGGGAGTCTCTCTCTCTCTCGTGTGTGCTTTTTTTAATTATGAATTCAATAAACTAGATTTCAATATTTTTAGCTGAATCGTACATCTCAACCAAGGTTCTAAATATGGATACAGGCCAATATGCCAGTAGGGCGTATTGGCGTGTTTTTTTTTTTTTGTGCTTTATTTATTTTTCCAAAACCAGTTTAGAGAGGTTGGTTTAAGTCTCGGCTACCCTCTGAGCCATGGCCTGGCCCGATACACCCCCTGTAAGTATGTATCGGGAAGGCCCTGATACAATATGTATCGGCTAATATGGGTAGCTGATATGTAACGATATTTTGAACCTTGATCTCAATGAGCAGTTATTCCTGTTGATGGGGCAATTGGGTTCAAGCCAAGGTTCAAAAAAATCGTTACGTATCGGCCGATACGTATCGTATCAGCCCCTTCCTGATATGCCCCTATAGGGGTTGTATTGGGCCAGGGCCTGATTCAGAGGGTAGCCGGCACTTAAACTGACCCCTCTGAACCGGTATTGAAAAACATAAATATAACTTAAAAGAAAAGGACCGATACAGGGCGTTTATAAAAGTTGAGAGCCGTCGTCATGAAAGTGGAGAGCGTTTATAAGATATTTTAAATTCTAACTTGGTTACTTCCTCGAGCTTGAGTTTTCAAAATGTGCATCCCTAAATCAGCGAGAGGCATATCCACTTTTCAGATCGCGGAAATTGTATTGATTTTAAGTGCCTCAGAGTCAGAGGAAAGCAGATTATAACAACAAAGGTCCTCCTCTACTAAGGAAACACTATACAAAAATGGGCAGTCCATATACCCAAAATAATAAATTTTGAGAGAATAATTTCTCTCAAGATTGTCACGTGATAAAAATGATTCAAGTCAATTCGTATACTTGAAAATGCAAAAATTGTAGATAAATACAAAAAAACAAAAAATTATAGAAAAATACAAAAAAAAATGATAAAATACAAAAAAAAACTAAGAAATTACAGACTTTTGCAGAAAAAATGCAAAAAAATACTAGAAAATTGTAGGAAATGCATGAAAAACACAAAAAATGCAAAAATTTTGCAGAAATACACCAAAAAATGGTAAAAAATGTAGAAAATACCAGAAAATTTTAGAAAATGTAGAAGAATACCAAAAAAGTGCAAAAAAAAGGTAGAAAAGACCAAAAAGTACAGAAAATGCAGAAAATAACAAAAAAATTGCAGAAAATGCAAAATAATGCAAAACTTTTATAAAAGTGCTTTCGCAAAAGTACTTTTATGAAAGTACTTCTCTGTAAAAGTGCTTTCATAAAAGTATTTTTGTAAAAGCACTTTAAGTGCTTTTATACTTTTGTAAAAGTACTTTTATAAAAATGATTTTATGCTTTCATAAAAGTACTTTTGTAAAAGTGCTTTCATAAAAGTGTTTTCGAAAAAATACTTTTATAAAAGTGCTTTCGTGTAAAAGTATTTTTGTAAAAGTACTTTTATAAAAGTGCTTTCGTAAGTCCTTTTCATAAAATTGCTCTTGTTAAAGTACTTTTGTATAAAATTGTATGTAAACACAAAAGTTAATAAAATCGATTTCATTTCATTTTTAATTCCAAAGTGAAATGTGGCATAGTGGTTCTGAAGGTTCATGAGATATGGGCACTATAAGAGGTGTGAGTTTGATTCACTTCAACTTCAAGTTTTTGAGATTTGACGAGTAATGAGTATTGTTGACTTTGGCCGAACCCATCTTGGCCCTAATGGGTACCCTCAACCCAACCCACCCTAACCTTTTTTTCTTGACCCTAATTGGTTACTCAACCCATATTGGCCCACCGATAGATTGGGTGGATTGGGTGGATCAAATGGGTTAGGATCAAGATTGTAAGCCCTAGTGAGGTCAGTGTAAGGAGCTCTCTGTGATACAAATAAATCTGGACTCAGGACCCCATCAATTGTGCTTATCTTTAAGCTGTGGCCTGGGTTTTAAACTTTAGGAGCTTGTGGTCTGGCTAAGTGGCTACTAAAGGGGCAAAGAATTTCCAGTGCTTCAAAAGTTGCAGAAGTATCTTCCACCCAAGGCTTCCACTTGGGAAAGAGTCGTTCAGGACCCAAGTAAGCAAAAGAATGTGAAAATGGCCATTGATAGTATTTGGAGAGAACAAATTGACTGGTCCTTTTGGTTACAGATTCTTTCTCCCAACACTCTAATAACTAATAACTTATCATACATTGTGTTATATAACCTCATAATCATTGGAGTTGATCTTATTGAACTGATTTTTGATGTTATATAACATCAAAAATTGACTGATTTTTTATGTTAGTCCTGTCGAGTATGTTCTGTATTTTCATTTCCGGTATGACATGGATCCCCTTTTCTTGTATGTTGCAATCTATATGTATTAAGGATTTGAAATTTGATTTCATACCAGGTTTCAAATTTTGCCTGAAATGTTGGTGGAATTTCAAAGTGTTTTGGTAAAAAAGGGCCATTAAACAAGTTGATTTCAAAGTGTTTTGGTAAAAAAGTGCTCTCACCTTGTCAGCCTGACATTTTACCATTGCACCAAGCAATGGATGCTAATTTGAAGTTCAGGAAAAGAGTATTTGGTATATTTCTTTACTATTTCTAGGTTTTTATATTTTTCCTTGGTTTGCTCCTGTCTGGTTGTTTTCTCTTATTCACATCAATCTCATTTGAACAAAGTAAAATACTCTTACTTCGTCTTCAATCTGGATCAAAAGTATTGGAGAGTATGTTCTCCATAGTCCATATATTTTGTTCTGGTCATTCCTGAAACCACGGTATAGTAGTTTCAAATTTTTAAATATCTCATCGAAATTTGATATCATTTGCTGTTGGTACAACAAACAATTTTACCTTTTCAGCAAACTTACAGAAAAAAAGTTTTTTATTGGTGTTTTTGTTGTTTATGGTCACATATTTTTCCCTGTTTAAATGTACTAAAATAAATTTCTATCTAGATTAGCATGAAGCTTATTGATAAACCATTTCTGGACACTGGGAAATTAGTAAGAAAAAGGGTTCTCACCTCTCAAGCATTCATTTGACTTGGTTGAAAATCTTTTTTTTTTTTTTTTCTTTTTTGGTAAGCACTTGGTTGAAAATTCAAACCAATATTTTCCTTGCTCATACACTAATATTTTTTCCCTGTTTATTATACCCCCAAAGTATAGTTACTTTCTTCCTTGTCATCCAACTACGGCTAGTAGTATTAGCGTATTACAGGTCATGAGCTGTTGAGAATACTCTCTACCTGGGAAGTTCATTACAGAAGAACTAAGATTTCATAGTGATCTGATTGACTATGGTGGACTTTGAGGTTTGAGTGTTGCTTCTATTTTTGTTATGTGTTTTTTTAGCCCTATTTTATCAACCCACGAGGTTTGCATCGTCCTAGTAATTCTTCTTTGATCGGACATGAAGGGGAAAAGTTGGAATTATGCTTGAAGGAAGATATAGCTCTAATGCTACTAAACTTGGACAAAGCATATTTACATGCAAATTTATCTCCTGATGGGCTTGATATCTCGATACCCATCCGAGGGAAATGAAAATAGAGCACTAAATTTAATTTCCAAACACCAAAGACCACATCGATAGGACGGGTGAAACGCCCCCCCTAAGCCAATCAAACCGAACTGTGTGCCCAAACTCTGCATCAAAACCCCCGACAATGCTTGCTTTCGTAGAGAAAAAACATCGTCAAATTTCTCTCATTCACTTGTTGAGTAGTATCTAGAAGTCCAATACTTCTCGATCTCTTCTGCTGTTCTTCCTGGTATTCTCCCAGCAATTAGAGCCCACCTGGTCAATCAAAGATACTGAAACTTTAGGTAAAAGAAGACTTTGTTGAGTGAGAAGAAGGGGAAAACGAAAGGCCTCAGACCAACCTATCTCCAATCAGATTATACATCCGAACAATAAGCGTTTCCTCATCCTCTGAGAATTCCAGCTTAGAATCTTGGCTGCTGTTCTCTAAACAAATGTTAAAGTAAAACCAGAAGGAAAATCACATTAACAGAGTATACAATCAGGGTGTCTCAGGTAGGAAAAAAAAAGAAAAGAAAGAAGCAGAAAAGCCGCTGCGTTTGTATGGGTACCAGAACAAACACCCCGAAAGAATCAAAATAACAAATAATAAATAAGAAGGAAACCATGTAAGGTTAAAAATCCAACAAGAAAAATCCGAATGTCACAACAAATAATCAATGCTAAAAGTCAGTAATTTCAAGTGGGTACCTCGAGAATCGACAGAGGTATCGTCAGAAGAGTGATCCAAGTCAGCCATTTTTTCCAGGGAAGAGAAAGATAAGCAAGATCTTGGATTCAATTTGTTGGAGGCAAAAGAAAAAGAATGCGAGGAACTGGTGGTGCTGTGGATGCATTTAAGTAATATTAATAGGAGGAGGAGGGGCGGAGAATCCCGAGAAGAGTGAGGGAAGAAGAACGGGTGTTGAGAAAAGAAAGAAGACCGGTAGGTGTGAAGAGGGAGTTGGAATGCTTGGTTTGATGGGTAGTTGTAAGGATCAAATAACAACAAAAGGTTTATGAGTTTATCCCTTTGGGCATCACCTTGAAAGCAATAAATGATAAAACTTGCAAACAGCCGGAAAGCATATGATGACACATAAATTTATTGCCAACAGTAAGAAAACAACATGATCAAAGTACCAAACGTTACAAATATCTCACCCATCTGGCCATCTCTATCCCTCCTGTACTTGCCGACAAAAAATAACCATTAAGTCTTGGGACCCCACCCTCTTTCGTTCTCACAATTAAATCACGCAATTAGGTTGTATTATGTGCGCATCTAGGTACTAAACTGAGGTTAGCATGCACGAAGAACAACCCTTGGGCTTGGAGGGCCCCTCCTCAGACTCACAGACCAAAGGCAACAGTGATTTTAACAAAGAAAAAAATACATAAAGAAATGGGATGGGATTAATGTTGAGAAACCTGAATTCACATTTGCGCCCCATAGAGGGCGTCCCACAAACGCCATACGGCATATCCCAATCATATATTGTGAATATTTTCCACTGACAACTTGGGAAAATGTGTATATGGGGTGTTTGTGAGGCGTATTTTATTGGGCATAAATGTGATTTGGAGAAAACCTAAATCCCCCATCCTCCTCTCAAGAGGAGAAAAAAATAAATTTCTTATGATGTCCGTACTGTGATTGCATTGCGTAGGTATATTGATGATGATCTGTGTTTCACATGAGATCAATTTGTTGTATTCTAACTTGTAAGTTTAGCTGTTCAGCTGTCTGTGGAATCAATGATAACGCTCATCCACCGCAAAATAGCCTTTCACAGTCTTACATTGAGAATATCTTGTTTTATTTAAGGTGATTGGAATGGTATGGGCATGGGCTTGCCTCTAATGTGTGCTTATCCTAAACAAAAAGAAAAGGATGCTAGTGGGAAGATATTATTAAGGGTATACAGTTCTGGACTTGATCCTTTAATCTTGGATTTTTTGGTAGAATCGTAAATCTAGCAATTTGGTCCTTGCAAAATATTGGGTCAAGGTGTGAATACTCTTGCTTTTGTTTGATATCAAATAATTTCAATCATGTCCCTAAATCAAAGTTATTTGGGTAGTTGATAGCAATCCATCGGAAGGGCAGATCATTTTTGTCTCTGAGTCATGCGTATGGAGGCGTAAAATTATGACGTCTGAAAGTTTATATAATATTGAGTATGCAACCTATGATCCAATGATCAGATTGATGGTTAAACCGGCTGGATTAAACAATTCTGGTTCCTACGGTTCAACCGATCAAATTAATGGCGGCAAATTAAGAACACTAGTTGATAGTAATACTGTTGAAGTGGAAGCGGTCAACGTCTCTACTCTGTAACGTCACCACTGCCACCTCTTCTAACCACAAGATCTGCATAAGCGGCTGAGGCATTCCGGCTTGGGATCCGAAATGTCGTGATTAAAGGCAACTTGGCATAAATGACCCTCTAACCACAAGATCATACTCTAATCTAATCTAATGTATTTTATTTTATTTTATTTTTTTACTGTTGCATCGTATGCCGTGCCGGCGTCACATCCAACGCGACGGAAGAAAACCAATGAAACTTGTCTCTCGGTAAAATGATAAGAATACGTTCACAGCATGGAATAGTTTGGTTGGAATGATGGAATGTTGGGGATTGCGCATTGTTAGTTGTTTGTTGCTCATTGAACCACACCTACCAACACCAATAAGCAATGCAGCTCCCTGGCCCTAATTGATTAATCCATCGATGATATTTTTAGTACAATTGGATACGAACACCATTGCAAAGTAAACAAAGATACATAATAACATGGGTCGAGTTAAAGAGACGCTCGATGGTGCCAATCTGCCAGAGAGGGTTAAAGTTCACGTTGTTTCCGGCAACGCATGATCAACAGGCACCAACTCCTTCAAATAACAAGACCCCTTTATATGTCATAAAATTAAATAAATTTTTTTTTTTATTTTTTTCTTGTAAAAGAAAAAACCTCTTAATTGTTTTCTCTTAACTTTTTATCTCTCAAAAGCGCATGAGGGGCATAAAAAGAGGCAACGTGGCCGCTTCTGGTGTTGGAGTAAAGCGTCTATTAGAAAAAACATTCAACGGTCAAAATCCTGTCGGATTGATGATTCGGCTGCATACATTTAATCCAACGGTTAGTGTGCACCTGTGCATTTAATGTCACAAAATCCTGCCGAGCATTTAATGTGCATACATTTAATTGTCCAAAGGTTAATGTGCATTTATGTTTAGTGTAATTAATGTACATGCATTTAATTGTCCAACGATTAATGTGCAAAAAAGGGACTGTTATTTGTGTTTTGTGTAATGAATAATCCAACGGTTAATGTTTAATGTACACGTGCATTAAACGACCTCATTTGCAAAAAAGGGACTGTTTCTAAAAAGAACCTCATCGTTCTGCACTCTGGATTCCTCCGATCTTCTAAATGGAAAGAAGGCGACTTTGCCTCACTTTGCACCATCATCGTTCTGTTTCTGCAGCAGCACTGTATATCATCGATTTCTCACACTCGATGGCGGTTTTCACATTTAATGTTTCTTCAGAACATCATCTTGATTTTTAATGGTCACAATGGCGGTTTTTACATCTTCTCGGCTGAACACAGGCGACTTCTTCTTTTCGAACATCATGTAGAAAGCGGGGACTGTTTCTAAAAAGAACCTCATCGTTCTGCACTCGGGATTCTGATCTTTCAAATGGGAAGAAGGCGACTCTGCCTCACATTGCACCATCATCGTTCTGCTTCTGCATCAGCACTGTACATCATCGATCTCTCACATTCGACATTCCGATCTGGTCGTACTTTTCCTTATCACATCATCGTTCGTAGGCTTCTTTCCAGTTTTTCATTTGCAGCTGGAAGCGGATGCATAACTCCTCACCCGACCCCGCCAACCCCCAACTGCAAGAGTGGCACAACTTCAAATTTCTTGAGCGGCTGCGCTTTGCACTCATGACATGGAGGCCCCACCTCACCTCATGGTATATATATCTTTGGGTGTCTTTCTTTTTTTGTTTATTAACGTCATTCTTTATCTTCTTTTCACTGTTTTTATTCTTTAGTATTAGTTCTCTTGTTTTCTTTCTTAATGTGCCATTGTTTTAATCAGAGTTTTCGTATTTTTTAACAATGGGCCTTGTTGTTCATCGATTAAATAGGAATTCATGGACAGCTTAAAATAATATGTTTTGGAATTTGTAGTTCCCATGGTGTATAATGTAGCTCTTTCTTTCAGTTGTCTTCACTGGGGTTGAAATATGCCTTTTTCCGTTGAAACCCCACTTTCAGTCTTCGCCTTCAAACGTGTTATCACGTTCTTAACGTGGTGGGCAAAAGCAAAACATTAATTGATTTCAAAAGACTAAGGGCAGGTTGGTCATTACGGGGATACGAGGAACCAACTTTCTGGTTTGGTTTCAGTTGGGTGAGGATCCCTTTCGGTTACATTCATTTTTTTCACTGACTGAATCCAACGAACAACAATAACAATGAAAGAAAGAGGGAGTAATGACACATCTCCTTTGTTCCGTATGACTAAATGTCTTTCTCTCTCCTTCCTTCTCACTCTTTTACCTTATTTCGTCTGCCTAGCGGAGTTTGGAGACTGATGGGTTGATGAAAAATGGGATAAAGTAGAGAGAGAGAGCAGGAGTCTTGACCATTGGCGTTCGCTTTCGTGTAGGCGTTGTTTCCAGCTTCCATGCGTGACACGTAGAGTTTTTTGCGAGTCTTTTTTATTGCATTTTAGGTTAATTTTTTATCACTATTTTTATATTATTGATATTGATCATCATCACTATTTTTACTTCTTATAAAAATCTTGTGCTTGATCACCTTCTGGCTTCTGGAGTTCTTAAACCGCTTTTATTCATCTACCCCGATGATTGGTGTGACATAATCTGATGGAGTGATGGGCAAAGACATGTAAGCTGCCACGGCACCAACAAAACCCGGCGGATAAATCCCGGTGAACCCGCTGAGGTGGACAAAGCCCGATGCACTCATTGAACACAGCCCATTGGACATAGCCCGATGGGCAAAGGCCTGTTGGACATAACCAGATGCCTATGCAATTTCTTATTCTTGAGCCGCTGAGGCCGTTGGTTAAAGGCCTGTTGTGTCTCGAACTGCTACTAACTGACAGTTGATCGATGGCCTGACAATCGATCAGGGAGAGAGGGGTGGCGGTGGTGCCCTAGAAGAGATGCTACTGACTGATAGCTGAGTAGGATCGAGGGCCTCAGCCTGACAGACAGGAGAGGGGAGCGGATAAGAAAAAGAGAGAGTGTGGGAGCGAGAGGGAAAGATGAACCAAGGAAGAAGAAGAAGCAAGGGAGAGAGTTCTTAGTGGGAAAGATTAATCTGTTTCTATGTTCTTCTTTTCTCACTACGTTCGTTTTCCTTATCTTCTTTGTCCTTTTTGTTCATGTCAAGAGTTCTTGGTGGATTTCTTATTTTTGGATGTTTCAATAGATTTTCTTGATCGTTCGAGCTGCATTGGTACTCCTAGGTGGGTTTTCGGATTTCTTGGTTCGGGAGAGAAATGAATCTGGAGTTCTGGTCCTATGGACTCGACAGTTGTTGATTTGAGACTCAAGAGATCTACCATCTGGGGGTGGAAATTCAAATAAGCATGACAAGGATAAAGGTGTTAATATTCAGGTTCTTCTCCATTGCAGGTTAGTCAAACCTAATCTTTCCTTGAATTTCTGGTTAATGGAGAATTTTTTATGAGTTTCGGACTATAATGACTTCTTTTTTCTAGACCCTTGAGCGAAGATGAAATGAGGGTCAAGAAACCGCAAATGAAATATCTGCCACGCAGAACACAGCCAACAAGCATATTGATAGAGCTTTTGTATTTGACAAGGTTTGACACTTGAACCGCTACCCCATTCATCTCAACTCCCGCATTGATCTTTAAAACTATGGAATTAGAACTTGTGATCTGTTTTCTAACGTATTATATAACTGTACACTATTCTGTGTAGGTTTTTGGTCCGGCATCTCAACAGAAGGATTTGTTTGATCAAGCCGTTTCTCCTATTGTCAATGAAGTTCTTAAGTTCTTGAAGGTTATAACTGCACCATTTTCGCATACGGTCAGACAGGTACAGGGAAAACATACACAATGGAAGGAGGGTGAAGAAAATCAATGGTTTTTCATTGTTTTACTTATCTATTTTGGTCTTACCATGCTTTCTGTGAATTTGAGAGCCTCTTTCTTCTTGTTTTTTGTCTTTGTAGAATAGGGATTTAACAAAGTAATGCGGGTGTTATCCCTAGAGATGTTCAACAAATCTTTGACATACTTGAAGCTCAAAATGCCGAGTACAGCATGAAGGTTACATTTCTAGTACAATGAGGAAATAACCGATCTTTTGGCTCCCGAAGAATGCACAAAATTCATTGATGACAAGTCAAAGAAACCAATAACCCTCGTGGAAGATGGAAAAAGGGGTGTTTTTGTGAGAGGCCTGGAAGAGGAGATATCGTCTGTACTGCAAATGAAATATATAAGATCTTGGAGAAAGGGTCTGCTAAAAGATCATACTACAGATACCCTGCTTAACAAGCAATGCAGTTGCTCCCACTCAATATTTTCTACCACAATCCACATCCAAGGAGTGTACACCTGAGGGAGAAAAGATGATTAAATGTGGAATACTTAATCTTGTTGACCTTGCTGGCTCTGAGAACATATCACATTCTGGGGCAAGAGAGGTATGCGGGCTACAGACATACATACAAGTGCACAACTTCAAATATTAACATTCACACATACACTTAAAATGGCATGCTTGTGGTTGTAGATGTAGTAACATTAATTAAGACCACTCCAGTAGAACCTTTCTCTCTCTCTCTCTATATATATATTTAATTGTAAGTAGACCTATGTTTACAGGGAATAGCAAAGAGAAGATGGAGAGGTTAATAAAAGTTTGCTTACACTTGGTCGTGTCATTAATTGTGTACTGTTGCTATCCTTTTAAATGGATTTTAAAAAGATTAATTGGTTCTCTTTTTAATTTCTAATACTAGCGAGTGGAACCCGTAATGGTTGAGCATTTATTCTGTTCCGTTGACGTGGCACTTAGTTGTCAATAAATGGTTTATCAAGTATTTTTCTCGGTTTTGAATACTCAAATATAAAATGTTTATTTAATAAACATAAGTTATACCAAAGACATACTTGATTTGCAATCGGAATGGAATTTAAATCGGAATTTACATTCCTTGGAATCAGAACCATAATGGTATATTCTTATTATTTGGTTCAAATAGGAATCAAAATTGGAAGCAGAATAAGCTGGAATAGGATCTCATCCTCAAAAGAGAGAATGGCCATTTCCTCAAACGGGGGAATGCAATTCCATCAAGAACGGGAATGAGATACTAATTCCACCCAACCAAACCGTTGGAATTACCATTCCAGTTCTAATTCCAAACCAAATAGGCCCATAATTGAATGGAACTTGGATTCACTCCCATAGAGCACTCTCCACACAAATCCACAGCACATTGCAGCCACGGTGTTCCCAAGGCTTTGTTTGCCTATAGAGCAATTCCATTTGCACTAATGCAAAGTATGGGAATGTAAAATGTCGAGTCCAAAATTTGATTATAAATTTTACTTGGTTTTGTTACTAGTGAATGACCCCATATCAAGTACGAGGAATCATAATGTTAAATTTACATTATGGAATCATAAGTTTTCCTTGGTTTTGTTACTAGTGAATGACCCCATATAAAGTACGAGGAATCAATATTATTAAATTTATTTTTATTAATACTTTAAATAATCATTATAATTTCAAAAAATAGTTTTTCAATAATTATTAGAATATGAATAATTTTCTTTTGTTATGATATTAATAATTAAGTGAGATTGATAGAATGTATGCAGTGGTTGTGGATCTCTTTTTAATTTCTAATAAATGGAAGTCTGGGTGTACTATTTTCTAACTTCATTTTTTTAATCTATTCATAGTATATAGAATTTTTAAGTGTTTCAAGTTTCAACAGTTATTCACACGCATGGGCATCCGTCATTTTACCCTTTTATGATTTGAAAGCCCAACCTAACTGACATCATACAAATCTGAAGAATTTGTCTTTGAAATTCTAAAGTAAACACTCTAATTAGCCGAATTGCTTCTGCAATATAACAAGTTAAATCTACAGTAACCGAAATCAACTGAATAATCTACAGTATAACAAGTAAAATCAACTATAGCTAAAACAGATGCTTCTCAGTCCATCTCTAACAAGGATCAGGAAATGCAAGATGACAGTGTGATAGATGCAATCAATAAGTATCTTTTCAAGCTCAAAATCAAAGAAGAAATATATGGTGAAGAGTAAAGGGTGAAAACGATAAAAAATAATAGATCTGTCTATTGGCTAAAAGAACACAGGCTCAAAGAAGAAAACGATATACAGAGAACTTGGGAAAAAGCAGAGAGAAAAATTGAAAGAATAGAAAATGATAGATCTATTACCTTGACGACAAAGAATGATGTCCACTGCTCCTCTGGGCTCTGGTGTCACTCCTTCGATCATCTATCTGTGGGTGGTGTCAAGCTTGTTCGTGGTCAGGGTTTCAACTAATAGGGAGGGAAACAAAAAGAAGAAAATCATGGGACGGTAGATTGGGTTGAACCAGATCAAAACTTGCGGGTGCCATGTAAGCTCCATGTCAGCTATGCGTTTCATGAAATGAACAGCCATTGGGGGAAAAGAGAAATGGAATAACGTTTATTGCCGTTTTTTAATTAGACACTGCCACCAAAAAGTGGTTTTGGTGCCCATAAACGTTTATTGCGCCAAAAGCTGAACTGGTGCTGAGGTGGCAGTGTTAATCGTAAACCAAACATCCCCATAGTTTGATCGGTACAAGTGAAAATCTACAACTAAAAACTGGGCAAACAATATTAAGCTTAAAAGTTCCTCTTCCCTTGGTTTATCCATGCAAGGGAAATATGAACTCGAATGAGAAACATCAGAAGATTCCTCCGACAAAGTAGCTTTGCCTTCTTTTCTCTGCTTCTCTTCGATAACTCAACTTTTTGAATCCACCTTCTTTTCTGCAGATAATCATAACTTTACTTAAAAGTATTTAAGTATTTATTTCTACTATTTTATCTGAAAATAATGCCAGTGACTTTAATAACACTAATTTACTAATTATAATCAGTAATAATCGGTAATTATAATAAATTAATCTAAAGTATTTCTGGTAAATTAATATTAAATTTTAAATATGATCATTTAATTAGTAAGTTAATTATTAAGTATTTATCTAATTAATAATCCATATTTTCTATATTTTTGGACATTTTCTACAAATTTATGATAACTTTAATAAAAGTCCAACATTATTTTTTCTGATATTTATTAAGTATTAATTTTGGTAAAAGGTCAAACGTTTTTTTAAATATTTATTAAGTATTTAATTATTAATAGTATATATTTTGGTAAATATATAATAAATTTTTATATTTGTTATATGATAGATTATTGGTAAAACTGGGTTCGGTTGAACACAAAACATAACCCGAATTGATATAATTAATAAATATTAATTATTAATTAAATTATCAGTATTTATTAATTATAAAACAATAATTAATAAAACTGGGTTTGATGGGCAACTGAACTGATAGCACAATCGAACCGGGTTCGGTTCAAAATAAAACTCAAATCGAAACACTAACTAAAATAACCCAACATTATAAAGCAACCCGACCTGAAGAAAATAGTCTTCCTAACCCGAATTGTTTCACATCGTTCGTTCGACAAAGCGATGACGACACCGTATCAAGGGCGGTTGAAATGCTAAAATCGACCTGTTTCTACCTCATCTGAACAAATAGATAGATGAAATAATAGAAAACTTTTAAATAAACAAACAAAAAAATAAACCAAAAGCAACGAAAAATACCTGGTAGTTGATCACAACCGCTGTTCTGTGAAGTTGAGTGGTAGAGCGTGCTTCCAATTGTGATGAAAACGAAGAGTTTGCTTTGAAGGAATCCATGCACGTCCAAACAGGTGATAAAAAACGGCTAGTGTCTCTCTGTATTCAAACAAATACAATGGTCGATCAAAACAAAAAAAAAAAAAAAATGAAAAACAGAGGGCAACAGTACAATGGTATCCTTGTATTTTAAACAAACGCAACAAACGAAATCCACCGACCATCATCAAAACGATATAACAATAGCGACCAAAACATTAATAATAAGAAGACCCCTCCTCCTCCGTTGTCTGATAAACCCAAACCAAAAAACAGAACCCAACCTAAAACCAGAGCAGAGGAGGGAAGCAGTTTTGGGTTCTGGGTTTGTTTCGCAGCTCATGGCAGAGAAGATGAATAAAAATATCCAACTCTCACTGTTTTTTCCATCTCCATTTTTCAAAGTTTCGATCTGAAAAGGAGAGAAGTGGTCAGAGGAAGAGAATTGTCTACTCTGGGTGAACTCCATCGCTGTTTTTTCCGCCTCCACTTGCGCCTTCGTCTCAGCCACCTCAGCCATTGTTACTCCTGGAATAAGAAGAGGAAGCTTGCAAAGCGAGAGAAAAATCTACCTCAGTAGCGCTATCAACTGGAGTTCCATCTGTTGCAGTCTGTGCAGGAACGGAAGCTGGATTCCCAGAAAGCCAAGAGCCATCGCCGATCCCAATTCAAGTTGGGCGACGCAGAGCCTTCACCAAACAGGGATTCCTGCAAGCTCCTGTTGGGCATATACTCATACACAAGAAACCTCCTCTTCTTCTCAACACAATACCCCAAAAGAGAAACAACAAACGGCGACCGCAGCCCGCCGAGAATCTGCAATTCATTCTGAAACTCCCTCTCCGCCTGCAACGAAGACACATCGAGCTTCTTAACAGCGACGGACTTCCCATCACGGAGAATACCTCGAAATCCTTAGTGGCCGACTTCAGCTCCCTATAAGAACCTCTGCAACTTCAGTGGAGCGCTGGAATCGAATGGGCTGGTGCGGGAGCGATCGACGAGGGAGTACCAGAGATAAAACAGGAACAAGACGAGACCAATAAAGTACAAAACTGAAGCCGAGATGGTAAGAGCCAGGAATAAAATAATCAGATCCGAACTCCTCAAGGTTTCTATAAGGGCTTACTCACCCTCGGGTTCTTCCTACGAGAAGGAGAGGATAAGAGGAAGCACGGAGTATGAACAGGTGTGCTACATGCAATAAAATAGTTTAAGTTAACACTAAATAGTAAGATTTCATCGATAGTGTATAAATTGGCACGAGCGAAAGGGAAGATCACCCCTTTCGCTTTAGCTTTAATATAAAAGATTGCTTTGAAGTTCTAATCGAGTTCGATTGACTAAATATCACTCTACTTCCCCATGTGAACTTTTTGTTATTTCGATGTAGCATGTTTTTTTTTTTTTATCAAATAGAAAGTTTGATTTAATAATCAACAGGTAATATTCTTATTTTATTTCCCTCCCATGTATATTTAATTTGTAACTGGGATCCATTACCAGTTTGCCTTCAACCTGGTAATATTAGTTCAGGTGTGTACCTTCTTTCAACCTCATGCCTTAGGTTCTAGGAACCTCGTGTATTTTCCTCTGGATTTTTTAATTTTGGTTACTGAGGGATTGCTCTTATAGTAGATTAATTTTTGTTGGTTATCCTAATTAATGTATGTGTTATTAACGAGGATTGTAGTGAATGCTAATGGTTGCAGTACTTCTCAAGTGGCAATAAGAACATTTTCTCTAGTGGGTCATGCTTTCATACTCTCTTGCTGTTCTGATTTTACCTTCTCTCCCTTTTACAGGCTATCTATTGAGTTGTAGGCTCTAATAGATGGTGGCATTCTGAAAGCCCCTAAATCTAAGCGTGAGAAAGAAAAATTATAAAAGTTGCCAATGAACTGAACAAGAAAGGATTGTGGTGGTTGACTGGCTTGGTCGTCTCTGATCATAACTGGTGAAGTTGACAGAAGTCGCAGTTGGGAGTTGCTGCATGATCAATGGAGCCCTTGAACCGATCGATAGGCTAGCTAAGATATGGAATTGAGTGCAAAAGCAAGAACATAAGACCATCTTTTATATATAACCTGAATTTCAATCTGTTGGGTCAAAAGATTTGAAGTAATACAGTGAAAAAATTTTGTTTTTCCCACTATTCGAAGTGTGACGACAAAAATTACTGCATATTTTGTTTGATTTATATAATTTTAGACAACAGAAATTTATATAACGTATTGAGGTAATGGCCAATGAACATGAGTTTAATAAGGTTCATCTTTTATAATTTATTGCGATCACTTTTTCTTTATAAATATATTTGGATGTTAGCTCAATGATCCAATCACATTATGTTTCTGTGAATAGGTCACACTATTTGCGGCCTTGAAATTAAAATTCGATACTGGCATATGGACTGGTTTCCAAGATTAGTTAAAACCCATAACTCCCTGTGGAATGAAGTCTTCATGTGATAAAGGAATTCGTATTAGAGAGTTTGAAAAGGCTTTTAGGCTCTACATTCTTGAATGACTAGCCCCGTGGACAAAGGCCCTAGGAGAGAGACAGTTGTAATATACATCCAATACATTTACAGATTTACAATTTCGCTAGTTTAGAAGTACAGAAAAATGAATATTTTCTCTTATTTATGATTTCCTAAAAATATTTAAAGACGGGCACAATGCCGACCCATGGATTAGCATCAATTTCGATCTGACACCCATCCACTTAAATTTACAAAAATTTACAACTTTTTGATAAAAAAATTTCTACCGATATACCTCTTAAACAATCAGCTCTAAAACATCACACCTGTCAAATCATGTTTTTTTTCAGACGCACTGAAGATTACTTAACAAGGTGGACATGAGGCCCACCGCCATTTATTGGAGAGGGCTAAACTACTACTACACTGGTAGATGACCGTCTGGGCTTGGCCCGGGCTTTGTACATGTTGTGTGTTAAACAAGGAGATGACAGTAGAAATAGAGGCACCCACATGCACATGATTTTCTGATTGAATGTCTTAAGAGATGACCAAACAAAGACATGCAGTGATGGAAAGAGAAGTCAATAGAGGCATTTCCTTTATTATGGATAAAGATTAAAGCCCAGGAACAATCCATAATTCTTCCACATTACAAAACAAGCAGCAGAACCAACACAACTTAAATCATAAACTTAATACCAAACATTTTAAAATAAAGATAGATCACATGCAGTAAGGGCATATTCTGTTAAGTGTCTAAATGTATTATATTTTCCTGCGGACATGCATTAGCAAATATTAATTATGCAGGGCTGGTCAAATGCTGCTGTTACTTCTGCTCAAAAACCATGAATCTTGATGTGTTCCTTCTTCACAATTCCAGCCTGTTCGCCACAGGAAGAAAGAAAATGTCAGGGCTTTCAAAAATCACAATCTCAGTTGGTGCATCAACTTTGAAAACTGAGAGAAGAGTAGGATAGGAGGGAGGTGACTGATCACCTGGACGAGGAATGTCGAGACATTCTTGCGCTGATCACCTTGGAGTTGAATAACCTACAATCCCCACACAACAAACTACCATTATGATATGAACCCTCATACGCACACAGACAAGCAGACACAGGCAAATAAAGTGTCAAACTAAGGCGAAACTACAAACCAACCTGGCCTAACTCTGGGTCCTGGACAACAGTACCATTGCAGCAGAATTCCTTCTTGAGGTCCTTGAGGATCTTGTTATAACTAAATTCCTTCTTCAAACCTTGAACTGTTGTCAGGCTTTTCCGACCATTTCTCTGCTGTATACGTACATGCACATACTCTTTTGACCCAGCGCCCGAGTCCTCAGCATTTGCCTCTGCAAAGGGATCTGTTTCACCATACAAACACAACCGACACTACTTAGACTTTATCTCATATATATGTAGTCTAAAGGAGAAATCAGGTAAAGGAGAGAAATAAACACACCGAAGGTAGTAGGAATCTGGATGTCGAGTTCAGACATGAACCTTGGCTGTTGAAAGTTGGAGAGAAAAGGAACAGAGCTTTTATTTACTTATAATAGAAAATGCTCAGAGCTGGCACAAATGGAAGGCAAACCATTTAGCTTCAATACAAATTAAGAAGAATCCAAACAAATACAACTTAAATTGAAACACACACACACACACAACTGCATTCTTCAAAATTTCAACAGTTTGACAAAATAAACTCCTCCTGTACTTTTTATAGATCTCTTCCTGTACAATTTGCTGAAAAGATTTCTAGTTAAAATTAAGTGTTAACCAGCTTTTAGATTAACAGATAGTCCCTATGGATCCCACCAATGCAGCTAAGATAATTTATATTATGGGATACTAACTTGGGATTACTACCCCCCCCCCCCTGTTAAACAAACAGAAACTGCCACAGAAAATTTAACTTGTATTGTTTCGGAACCATTTCTTAATTGTCTAGGAGGGAGGGGGATGAGATTGAGAATCAAGAACATCTATCTTACTAACATATGCGGCAGAGGACACATCAAGATTCAACGTAATCATAACAAACCTTAGTGTCTCGCAAATTAACACATAAGAAAACTAGAACAAAGAGAAACTGAATGGAAAGAAAGAAGCAGAGAGCTAATCACATCCAGAAAAAAAAAAAAAAAAAAGCCGCGTGTATGCATCATAGTACTATAAAATTCCATTATACAGGTAAGATCAAATCGAACTCGACAACTACATGTGTTGCATCTCACAAACAATATAACATGATATCCAAACAGAGCCCTTGACGACTATTGAAATAATGATAACATAGAAATTCGAGATTAAAACATAAGAATTTACAACGGTCAAAGAAATTTTGCAAGAACAAAAGGTAAACAGCATGAGACTCAATAGAAGCATAGGAAACCTCGAATTTATTCATACATGATAAAAATGGCATTCAGTACAGACGCATGGATGGCATAAAACAAATACCAGGGCATATGAAATAGATAGCTCAACAATTAAGGAATTTATTAGAAACGGAGTATACGATTGAAAAAAAAAGCACCTTTTCAAAGGAAGACAATGAAATCGTTGAGAAATCTATATCCCTAAACATAACAAGCACTCCATGGAAGAAAAATCCATGAACTAATTAGGTGTTAAGGCATGCCAAAATAATAAAACCCCAATAATCAACCACAAAGAAAGACAGAGTGGGAAAGAGAGGGATCTACCCAGATTTAAGGGACTCAAACCCTATGTAAAGAAAAAACAAAGAAATCATTGATCTAAATTACACGGAAAGAGTTCAGGTAAACGAAGATCAGAAAGCTCAAACAATAATACAACCAAACAATTAAGAAAGAAAAATCAGAAGCCTCATGCAAACAAATCAGATTTATTTATGTACAATCAAAGATATAAAGAGAAACAATAAAAGGAAAAAAAGAAAGAAAGGAAGGAAAAATAGGCATACATACCTGATCCGAACTTGGGTTTGAACGGTATTGACAGTTGAAGAAGAAACCCTAATCGGAGCAAAAGGAAGGAGAGAGAGAGAAGGGAGAAGAGAAATTGGCAGAGAAATCGAGGAGATAAGATGCAAGGCGGTTGGGAGGCTGTGATGGGTAATGGTGCCCCACGCCCCACACTTTATATTTGTAGACGACTGCTCTTAACCGCACGACTTCAGCCCCATCTAACTTCGTTTATGAGTTAGGAATCTCCGTACCTTTTTTCTTTTTCTCTCTTTTCCTTTCCCATTCTTTTATGCATTTGTTTTCTTATTCTTCTATCATATGCTCATATGTTAGGTTTGGTTTTATAGAAAATTTGAGGAAGGTTCTCAAATAATATAACAATTTTTTTTTTAGACTCTCTTTGTTTAGAGTGCAAATAAAATACAAATAGAAATATGCAAAGTGCATTTTAATCTATGCAAATGTAAAGTTGATTTAGTTTTGCAATAATAAATTTACTTTTTTGTTTGTAATGGGTGCAAATATGAATCTCGAGATTAAAACATACACTTTTAACATTGATCAATTTTGAGTGCAAAGTTTGCATCTATTACTCTCATTTTGGATGTAAATATGTTTTTAAATTTTATGAAAAATGTTAGGGTAAATTACAAGGATCTCTTGTACTATGGGGTCAATGACAAAGACTCCTGCACATTTTTTTGTGACAAATACCCCTTGAACTTTGGTCGTTAAACAAAACCCCCCTCCTTTAGTTGCTTTTGAAAAAAGTTCTCACTTGATCATTTAAAGCTTTCTAAATGCCCCCTTTTCTAATTTATTTTACCTTTTTTCTCCTTTTGTTTTACTACGATCTTCATCCCATTTATCAGTGAGACTTTCAGGATGGCAGATATCAGGCATTTGTTCTTCCAAAACATTCGCATGCAGGTAACCAACACTGTCGTGTTCATCCATGTTTGCTCCCTCTTCATTCTTCATCAGCACTGAACGTTCTAACCCCCAAGTTTCGTCTCATGACTTTTAGATGAGTTAGACTGAATACAGGCCGGGACATTCATCCCTCATTTCATCGTTTTCTTTCTTTTTCTTTGCCGTCATCACCATTTCCAAGCATAAATCCAATGAATATTCGACCTCGTCCTATTCCCTCGTCGTTCTCTCCGAAGTCCTAACCTTCCATCGTTTTTCAAACTTTCCTTCCCCCTATTGTTTTTTGTTTAGTTTCTCTCAACTGTCATTACCTCCTCTGACTAACGAAAATAAGGGAGTTGTAGCAGCAAACTCTCCCCTTATTCCCACTCGGATCTGGTGAACCCCATTGGCTTCTGGTCCATTTTGAACTTTCGTCTAGTAGAGGTTTACTAGTAAATCACAATCCCCAATCCTTGAAAATCCACCATATCCCGCTTCCACCCTCTTAGAATCCTTTGCTTCAATAGCCTAAGAAATGGAGGAAGAAATAAGACGAGAAGTTTCGGCCATAATATTACATAGAAGGAAATTCTTTAACCAAACAGAGAGACTAAAGAAAAACAAGATTATGAAAACGTAAATGAGGAGGAGAAACAACATCGCGACCTTGAAAATGATGTTATGGTGGAAATGTAGAAGACGAAAACAGAGGAAGCTACGGAGAGATTGACTGCTCTTGAAAGAGAAGTTCAAAGAGACATGTTTAAGTGGGAGAGAATGGCTAGTGATGATGCATGTGATCTAGTGCTCCCTACTAGCGGATAGCTCGAATGCCAAGTTGTTGAGGTTGCTTGGTTGGGTTGCAAAGAGAGAAGTCAGTGTTTAGGTTGCTTTACCCAGGGTGGGCACTCCGATGATTAAGTTAGCGAAGTGTGTATTTAGAGAATTAGAAAGCAAGAGAGCAAGTATGCTTGAGAGCTAAATTGCGCGCGTACCTCTTCTATGAAAGGGGATGCCTTTATATAGGTAAGCGGTCGTGAGGCTCATGAAGCGCATTCGAGATCTCCGGCCTGTCTAGTTCGGAGGTGGTTTCATGCCCAGAGATGGACTCCGCGTAAATGGGAAGTGCTTATTTGATTGCGCCCGAAGTGGGTGAGGTAGTAGTTAGCTCCAACGATGTTGCATCGTGATCCCGAGAAGGCTAGAAGTGGCAGCTCACTCGAGGAGGAGGTCACTCGTTGTGTCATATAGACCGTTGGCTAAATCTTCACTAAGTCGACGGAGTAAGGTCGCCCCCCACACCAACTTGTCGTCGACCAACCTATTTCTATTTCGGCTTGCCGAGGCTAGTATCTACTAGGTCGGCAAGGTAGGTTGCCTCATACGTCGACCAATCTATCTGCAAGCTAACTTGCCAAGGTGGGGACGAGGAGTTTGCAATGGATGCGAGGTGTCCATCATATTTCTGAAGCCAGCTTACGTGGAATTGAGTTATCATCCGATAGGTTTGTGGAGCCACGTGTCATAATGTCACTAGAGGGTCGAATCAGCCCACATCAATTGCCCCTCCACTCCTGAGTCGATGCTAGTTTGGCAAAGGGAGTACCATTGCCAATCCCCGGTCTATAGTGACTCGTCTGGTCAGTTTGCAACTCGCTTGACCTATCCTCTTGACTCAACTCAAGGGCGAACTAGCACACGTGACAAGTTCAAATTTTAAATTGGGCATGCAAATTTTTTAAATTCAAATTCGCCTTTGAGTTATTAGAGCGGTGTGATCCTCTCGACTTTCGTCTGCTGCGACACCACATCCATTGATTTTTCGTGCCCATGGCTATAAATAGGGGGTTCCCACAGAGGTCCCATTTGTATTGTTTTGAATTTTCTTGCGGAAGGGTGAGGTGAGAGATTGGAGAAGAGATTTGCTAGGAGGTCGCTATCAGTTTGGCGGGCTTAATCTAGTTAGGTGAAGTAGATCTCTCTTTCCCTAAAAAGCTGGTGAGTCCTTTTCCCTCTTCTTTTAGTCATGTATTTGAGTGAGTCTAAAGGGGGTCTTCCTACTCCGCTCGGGCCGAGGAAGGGGCTTCGACATGAGAGCGACAAGGTTCCCATACAGGGACCTCAACTTCTCAACGAGAGTCGCAGTCGAGCTCCCATTTCGGTTCCATTGAGCTAAGCGAGGAAGAAGTTGTCAGGCTAGTGTCCTTTTTCCACGTCCCAAATGATTTCAGCTGCATTCTTTCCCACTATGACATCTCAATGGAACAACTCCACCTGAACTCCATCAGGACCATCGTGGGGACAATCTCTCTCAGTTACCACCTTGGTTTCCCTCTAGATATGGATATCTTCTCGGGGTTGTGTAATATAAAAAGAGTTTCCAATGAGCTCTATTGTTTTTATTTGAGCTACCACTATGGCTATAAACTTCTGGGAGGCTTCCCAACAAAGGCGAGGCACTGGACGAGTAGGTATTTCTTCCTCTCTTGAGAGGCCAACTGTCCCCTAGACACCGCTTGGTGATATGAGGCAAGAAAAGTTTACAAGGTTGAGTTCGATGAAGAGTTGTGTCTCAAGGTTCAACACCTCATATGTTAGGGATTAATGATAAATCAGTTCTTAGTTGAGCCTATGCTTGTTCGGTTTGGCCTAAATCCTGTAGGTAGGTTGGCCTGATCATCGCTTGTTGTCTTTATATCAAAGGATATTCTTTAGCTTGGCTAACTTATGTTTTTGTATGTTTCCTCAAAAATGGTGAGTACTGCTTCTCTCCTAGTGGTGGACAAGAGGCCCTCAAAGCAGAAGAGGAGGGTAGCAAATTCCTTAGTTTGATTGTCAATGGAGGGCTCATCAGCTGATGTAGAGGTGAGACCTGCCATGCATATGCCTGAGGTGGTCAACCTCGAGGGGGCAACAATCCTATGTTCGTAGAGCCCACTCAGGTCTTCACAGGTATGACTGCCTCGTCACCCTAGATGAGTGTGTCGCCGCCCCTTACGCTCTGACATACCTTGATTCATCCCCAATATTGGCCTTTCGATTGTTGACCGACTAACCAATCCTCTAGTTGTTTTGCAAGTGGGGAGGGGGATCCTCCTTCTTGACGTTGGCACAAGGATGACTTAGTGCATCCTGCAGGTGCGTGATCCTCATTTTTTATGCTTGTTTTCCTTTCCTTCCAAGCCTCACTACTATTATTTCTTCTTTTGCAAGTGAACTTGATGGGCCGGTTCTTCCTAAATTAGGTCATTGTGTCAAAGCGTGAAAGGCAGGAGATGCAAGCGAACGTTGAGGCCCTGTAGGCCTAATTGGAGGGAGCTCGGCTGAGCACCAAGGCGGCCCACTGCAGTGTAGAAGAGAACCGTAGATGCTTCTACGAGTAGGGGTGGATTCGTTGAAATAGTCTTAGACTTAAGCTTGATTCGAGCTAAAGACTTGAGCTAGAGCTCGACTTAGTTCAAAGCTCGTAAGTTCGAGCTCGACTACAAGCCAAGTTTTTCTAAAAAATAAAAATTATACATATAAAAATATTTTTTGTTTTGCATACAACAAAATAAGAATTATAAAAATGATTTATTATTATACATATAAAAAAGTGTTTTTGTTTTACATACAAAAATTAAGAATTATAAAAATTATTTACTATTATACATAAAGAATAAAAACATTATATAAAAATATTATTATATATATAATAAAAGTTATTTATTTTATATATATTTATATATTTATGTGCATGTATGTATGTATGTATTTATGTAATAAAAAATTTTATTATACTAGGCTCGCAGGCCTCACAAGTCGAGCTTCACTGGGCTCGAGCCTAGCTCGACTAGCAAACGAGCCTATGTATCAGGTTCGAGCAGGCTCGCGAGCCTCACGAGTTGAGCTTCACTAGTTCGAGCCCGGCTTGATTAGCAAATGAGACTATGTATTAGGTTCGAGCTTGGCTCGGAGCTCGGTTTAAACCGAGCCTAGCTGAGCTCGAATAGCTCATGAGAAGCTCGGCTTGTGGCCACCCTAATCTATGAGCTTAGTGTTGGCATGTAGCGTGAGCTAGAGGAGGCCAAAGAATCCATCACCACTCTGACCAGTGAGTGCAAACCAGGGAGCATCAGTTGGAAGAGCAGTGAACTAAGTATACTAAAGAAATCCACCGTGCCAAGGACACAACAGTCAAGTGCTTCTGCCTGTTACTGAAGTACGAGCAATAGAAGATCGAGAACGTTGTTCCCTCTGTGAAGAGGGGAT